AGGTTCAAATATTGAAATTTGTTATGGTCCTTAGATTTTTAGATAATGCTATATCATATAGCTAATAGGATTAGTGGACTCAGCAATAGGTTTGAACAATGTTTCAGAATGAAAATGAAATCTATTTATTGTCTCTATTTTGCTCAAAACCAAAATGGGCCAGTACTCCTAACAGGGCTACTTGTACACCCTGGAAATTTTGGAAGTACTCCAAAATAGAGCACAAAATGGGGCAGTATACTCTACACCACAAACCAATAGCCATACACCCATTGGAAATTGTGGAAGGAAGCTATCCTTGATAACCTCGTAGTAGGGAAATCTGGTGACTATAGTGAAAAAAATTACCTCTTTGACCACTCTAGATTGGTTTCTCAAAGTGCTCAAAATCAGAAGCTTCCTTTTTTTCTCAGACATTAGAAGGGCTTTCAAATTTTCTGTCATTAATATTACAACTTATTGGATGGATGGCTTGGTCCTCTTTTCGTTCATTTTGGTAATAATTCCTTCCCTTTTGGCTTCTTTGCAGTTTCCTCTCTTACTTCCGGGCGAGAAAGAATTTGTCTACGAAAGTCATACACCTTTGTCATCTTCTTCAGGCTCCATTGAGGGTTCTTTCACATTTGTCTTTGGAAGGTATGTAGACAATTCACTATTTGTATAAATTTCTGTTTTTTTTTTAAAACCAGCGAACTCTGAAGCACTCAATGATGATATCTGCTCTCCTATTTCTTATCTAGATGAGTTTACGTAGATTATCTGGCATTTCCTTTGTTCTTTACTTTAAACTCGTGAAATTTTTTACACAATACAAGTGATATGAAGAAGAGCAGATATTATCATCCAGAACACAATAAGCTGTTAGGAGCTAATTTTATTGGGTTTTTACTTTCTTGCCCAATTTCAAAGTGTACTATTTTATTGTCATGTTCATGAGATTCTGAGTATCCTATACTGCATTTCTCAACTTTTTTTTTTACTTTTTTTTTTTGCTTTTATATTTATTGGCCAGCGTACACTTGTTAATCAGAGTATATTTGTATAAGTACAGCTTTATATGTATTTGTAATTGAGTATTTTTTTTTAATTCAGATTAGATTGAGTGTAGAAGTTCCACCAGTTGTTTGTGAGGATTGTTACAAAAGCGTCATGAATGAGTTTATGAAGCAGTCAAAGGTACTGTTGTGTTACCATCTAGTTTTTGCTTCTATATGGTATGATGTGATGGTTAGACTCACAAAATTTCCTTAATGAACATCTTACATACAAGCAGGTCCAACACTTTCTTGGTATTATAAATTACATGGCCAATTTTATTCCTAATATGTCCAAATACAGGGCTCTTTTGGCAGCCCAATTAAGTAAGAATGCTCCCTAGTGAGATGGGATCAAACACATTGCTGCAGTTATCTCTATGAGAGAACTCTCCAAAGCACACCCTCCATTGAAAATCTCCCTAATAATATCTCAAACATAAGTCTTCAGAGCAGTGGGACTTTTACCCTGCCAACTCTTATTGTGATTGCATGAGGTTCCTCCTCAGTCACACAGCTCATAACAAGTATTAGATAGAGAATCTTTACAAAGAGTTAGTTATCTGACAAAATAAGTTGAATTTCTTCATATTGAATTTCAAGGCTCTGTAGTACCCTGAGCAAAACTGATGGACCTAATTCATCAACATCTTGTACAGTGTAACGCCCTCAAATTCATAACATTAAACCCATCAATTAAGAGATTCATTAACATATGAAATAACCCTATTCTTCCATTTCTTCAGAGTCTTATTACATAAGTATTACGTGTTAACAACAATAGCAAAATGCCCTACGGGCTTACAGCTTTCCAAGTTAACACTTGGTTACACAAAAAGGAGTACTAACTCATACACATTAAGCCCTTGGCTTGTATTTACATGTAATACATCAAAAAGTAAAACGACACCATTATGTCCGTCTCTAGCCTCCCAAGCTATGTCCTTGGAGGTGGCATGCTTCCTGCACCTGAAAATGATATTCCCATATAGGGTGAGCCACAGCCCAGTAGAAATACACTAAACCAACCATGGACAATGACTAAAACATTAGCAATTGATAGTTGGTCAACACTGATACAATCACATAAATAACATATTTATGTCAACGACTTACAAGTCCCAATTACTTTTCATTTTCCCCTTTTCAACAGATAAGCATGCTAGCTCTATCAACATTTCCACAGATATGTATAAAAACAATATCTCACATTCAGATAAGCATAAAAGCTACATCCACATTCTCAACAGATATGTATAACAACAATATCCACAGATAAGCATACAAGCTGTATCCACACTCTACAACAGATATGTATAACCACAATATCCACAGATAAGCATACAAGCGGTATCCATTTCCAAATAGATCGTGTTATAACGCTTGCACCCCAACAAGCTAGGATACGGGTACGGTGGCGATACGTTTTAAAAAATATATATATATTTTTTATAATTTTAATAATGTAATATGCATGAAAATAAAATGTAAAGCTAATTAATAAATAAATAGAGGGATTCCTATTAAGCTAAGAGCTTCAACCATTCACAAAAACATCCAAAACTAAAAGCAAAATCAAATGCAAATGCAAATTAAATATCATCCTTAAATGCCAATACCAAAAAAAGAATGAGAGCAGAGAGAAGAAACGTGAGAAAGCGAGAGAGAAGTGAGAGAGACAACAAGGATACATCAATTTGACAAATTCTATTACTTTAACTCATTATATTCCTCTTATCAAAGAACTAAACAAAATATTATAAGTAATATATAACTTTGAGTATCCGATACTTCAAAATTAATAAAAAATTAATTAAGACGTATCTGATACTTTTACGATGTATCCGATACGTATCTGTGAGTATCCAAAGAGTATCGGTATTCGATAAATATCCGATATGGATACGTCTCCCTTTTTGAAGTATCTGTGCTTCATAGGATAATACCAGTTATAGTTATGGCCAGCCACCAGCTTCTGGCTATAGTTAACAAGGGTATACTCAGGATGGCTACGGTGGATATGCACCTGCTCCACAAACTGGTTATGGTCAACCCCAGTCAAATACCTTCAGCTGGTCAGGCAGCTTATGGGCAGTAGCCCCAACAGTCAACCGGTGCCCAACGTGGCTATGTTCAGCCTGGATATCCTCAGTCTCAGCCCCCACCGGCCACTCAAGCAGGTGGTTATGCTCAGCCAGATTCTGGTGCCCAGCGGGCTCCGCCCTCGCTCATGGCGCTTCAGCAGCTTAACCAGGGTATGGCCCCTCGCCTTATGGTGCACCTCCAATGACTCATCCAAGGTATGGGCAGCAGCAGCTGCCATACAACAGCTCTTACGGTGGTGGTTATTCTCAACCACCGTCTTTTTTTGCTGATGGAGCACCAACTTCTTAGGCTGTTCAGTCTGGTGGGGTTGCCAAAGCTTCACCCAAGAGTTGAGATGTGTGGTGAGTGGATGGATTGTGGTTAAAACAACATATGCTCTCATTTTGGTGCTTAATTGGTGTTTGTGTAATAGGATTTTAATTAGTTTCAGTCAGGTTTTGTAGTTGTATTAGACCTAAATACAATTTCAGGATGATTTTGAGTTGTCTGTTATGGATGGTTAATTGTTGGTCTGGTTTGGACAAATGCTTTTAGGTGTTTTGTATTATGTTATCTTTCTGCTTTGCTGCACTGTTTAGATTGTGTGATCTTAATCTTTATTTTCATGGTCATTATCAGTTGTTGCTTTGCTTTGTTTGAATGAAAATCGGGTTTTCAAAATATAATTTCAAATCCAAGTCATAAAAGCATGGGTTTGATAATATATTTTGAAAAAGCATGAGTTTGAAATATGTTTTCAAATGTCTAGAAGGTGACAATGATGAGGACACTAGTTTTTTTTTTCTAGAATTTTTTTTTTCTTCGAGAAATTGCGAGCTTTAATTTGTCTTGATCGTGGAATCTCTCTCTCAAGCATGGAAATGCAGTAATAATGAGTGCATTCTCAGGAAGCTCTTACCAACTTAAAAACAGTTTTAGGGCTTTAGTTGTAAGGTCAAACTATTGATGCTTTGTATTACTGAAAGTAGTATCAATATTCGTGTTTGAGGAATTATACCCACTGTTAAAATATAGATTCTCTTCTCATATTTGTGAAATTACATCCCATTTCTTAAGGTTCCAATTACTCTTTCTGTTCCAAAATAATAGTCCTTTTTGGGAAATCTAATTTTTGCAACCTTGGTGAATGATGGGAATGGTAAAGTGCGAAGGGAATTTTCTAGGGTGATTTGTGAGTATTTAGATGTTTTTCTTGATGACCTTACCGAACTATCACCTCAACGGGAGGTCGAGTTTTCTATAGACCTAGTGTTGAGGACATCATGTCCCCTTATCGATTCGCTTCCGCAGAGTTGCTTGTTTTCTATAGACCTAGTGCCGAGGACATCATGTCCCCTTATCGATTCGCTCCACTAGAGTTGTTGTTTTCTATAGACCTAGTGCCGAGGACATCATGTCCCCTTATCGATTCGCTCCACCAGAGTTGCTTGTTTTCTATAGACCTAGTGCCAAAGACATCATGTCCCCTTATCGATTCGCTCCAGCAGAGTTGCTTGTTTTGAAGGAGCAATTTTAAGAATTGTTAGACAAGGGTTTTATACGCCCTAATACTTCGCCCTGGGAAGCACCGACTCTCTCTGCGAAGAAGAATGATGGTTTCTTGCGGCTATGCATTGATTACCGTAAGCTGAACATAGTCTCGGTCAAAAACAAGTATTCGTTGCCTAGAATATGTATTTCTATATGCATATATGTATAGTGCGAGCACCAATGATTGATTTAGATCTGTATCATCATTATCATCAAAATCAAAATGAGCAACAGAATCAGCAGATGCAATTAACGGACGTGGAGATCGGCGATAGAAGGTCTTCCAGATCTCTACGTCAGCGGCGGAGCCATGCTGGCGGCGGGGCTAACTTGAACAAGGGCTGTTTTCATTATCATCAGCATCAAGGGCTGACTTGAACAGATCTACCTCTTTCAGGGCCTTATTAGAAACCCTCCCATTGCTACTATTCAACTGTGAGATTTCAAGAGGACATGAAAAAACAAGGAAAGAACAAAACAAAATCAAAGCTCTGGTCCCTTCTCTCTCTCTCTAACCCTCCCCAGGAACTAAGTGAAAGTGAAACCCATAATTTTGATTTTTTTTCATTTTTTAATTTCCCTCACCAAAATGACGTCATTTTGGTGAGGAATTGATCTCAACCCTTGTTTCCGTTAGTGGGACACCCGTCAGGCCCATCTCATTCACTGTAGGAGATCACTCTAGGGCGATCACTCAAGAAGATCCTAACGAGAAAATGTCATGGTTGCTAGTTTCATTCAACTTAAAACTGGGTTGCTTTTGAAAATAAAATTTATGAGATTGTGAAAGGGAGGCTCCAGCTCCAAGGAAAGCTGAAAAGGCTATTTTCCAAAAGTCCATAAAATGAATGTTAATGTGCTAGACTGATGGGTGGTTTGGGAATTTCCAAAAAATTTAGCGCTTTTTAGTCTTTTTACACAAAAAAAAGTCAATTTTTTAAACATAAAAAGCCAAAAAGCTACAAAAAGTCAAAAAACTAATTTTTTACCAACTTTCCAAAACACCACTGAATCAACTTGGAGAGGACAAGAGGATAACTAGTCAAAGGCGAAGAAAAACAAGTGCCTTCAAGAGAGCAAGATTGGAGGAGGGAAAATTTGAGCAAACTGCTCTATTTGGATACCTGGGTAGGGATTTAAAATGGAAAAGAAAAAAAGTGTGTAAAATGTAAATTACATTTAGTTATATTCCATTTAAATTTTATCTACATTTTTTTTTAAATTTCTACAAAAATTCGTAATCCCAACACTGTCTAAAGACCAAATGTTTAAGTTTAACCTGCCAACTTAAACATGAGTCAGTTTCATTATGTTTATTCTTGGGCGCATGGAGTACCTGATTAGTTTGTAATACAAACCAAGGCTAAGATGACACTAGTGAATGGAGAGGCCAGTAGCTCTTCAGACAGGTCTAAGATGATCAAACTTCTTTAGGTTGCCAAGAATTCCACTTAGGTTTCGTTTGGAAAGTGGGTTGGTGATTTGAGTTTTCGATTTTTTTGGTTATTTTAGTTTGGGGTTAAAAAGTTTGTTTAGGTTGAGCTTTTTGGGTTTTTTGAATTTTGATACTAATTTAACCAAAAAACCAAATTAGCCTACATACCAAATGAAGGTTTGTAAGGTTGTCATCCAGAGCCAAATTTCTGGCTCAACTATTATGTGAATGGGGGACAAAATGGCCCATGTAATATATAACGGGCATCGATACACATATATATAGGGGTCCAATTCGAGCGAGTTCAAGTAGGTTGCGAAGTCGTCCAAGCCTAACCCAAGTTATGCTGAGAGCTAACCAGACCTACCCAAACTCAAATTATAACCTGAGATTGTTTGCCCAAACCTAGCCCGAGTTAGGCCCTTATTGCATATGAGTTTGAATTTTTATTTATTTATTTATTTTGTGTGCAACTAAGTTAATTAATTTCTCAAAATTAGACTATATTTACATTTTTTTTTATATAAAATCATTAATAATATGAAAACAATAATTTATATAATGTGAGAGAGATAATAATTGAAGAAACCAATGTAAAGCTATAGTGGTCTTTACAATTTTGAAGTCAAAAACGAAAAAGGTAAAAGTTTTGTAAGTGTTTTTCGCTCCTGGTGTGTTGGGAGACTGTAGGGATTGTTTTCTGTCCTCCCTTCTGGGCATTGGCCGTTGGAATCGGCGTGTCCTGTAACGGAAACAGTGGCTGTATGACGTTGTTTTGCATCATGAAATTGACGACCGATTGTAGGTCTGCCAATTTGTTCGCCATAGTCTTTACCTCGTCGTCCCTCCGCAGGCATCTTTCTTTCCATACCTAGAGGTCATCCTCGTTGTAGTAACTGCTTTGGTTCGTTTTCTTCTGTACGCCGCCCTCCTGGGTGACGTCCTTTCCTTCGTGATTCTTATCGTGATTCTCTCTGTTGCAATTGTCCTCTTCAACGTCCAAGCCAACAGGTCTCTCACTTCATTCTTTATAGGTTAAATTACATTCATCACAATGTTTGATTTGATTTTCGAAATGAGTTTTCTCATAAAATTTCAAAAATACTTGTGTGTGTCAATTTCCGACTACACTGCCAAATTAGTACTTAACTAGAGAGCACCGGCAGAATAAACTAAGCCCGAACGACCTGCAACAGAAAGAAGAGATTCCGGTGGTAGTTCGTCCACATGGGGGCACTCCGACGATCAAGTCAGTTATCTCTCAAAGATAGCAAAAATGCTTAACTTACTATTTAGAATATACATTGCGTACCTTTAGACCCATGGGGGTCCTTCTCTTTTATAGCCAACATAAATCTAGTCCCAATAGAAGCCTAGCTCCATTGGACTTAGGATTATTGCTAATCCTGGACTCCCAGTAGGATTGGGATAAACTCTCTAAGAGTCTTATCCTTACCCAAACTGAAGTCCCATTCAATCTAGGACTTTTGTTCTTTATCCGCTTATCCCGAACTCCGATATCTTCAGAGATAACCTCGGCCTATCCGAGATCACCTCGGCGTTATGACAAGGACACGTGGCACTTCGGCTGACACTTCGGCGTCACCTTGGTTACGTGTTGGCACTCAAAAAATATGTCCCCACAATACTAAAAATTAATTTGGTAAAAAATTGAAAAAAAAGCAAGAAAAAAAACATAATTTTCAAATGATTTTTATTTAGATTAAATTTTTTTTTAAATTCAAAAATATTTTTTGTGTTTATTTTTGTTAAATAAATTTCAATTTTTTAAAAAAATAAATAATTCATAAACCAATTTTGAAAATGAACCCAAACAAAGAAAATTCATAAAATTAACATAATTATACCGTTCTCTTCTTTACTAAGGTTAAAACAAATGAGGACATACAAATGTCCTGTAGACACAAAAATAATAAAGATAAATATGACAATATCATTTTTTTTTTATTCACATGACTAAAAAATAATTAATGAAAAGTGGGCAAAAAAATTTATGAATTAAAACTTGGACTATAATATAATTACATTAAACTTGTAGTGTTGATGATATTTTTTCTTAACTTCAAAGAGGTTAATGTAATTCACATTTTTTTTTTTAATTTGAGAATTTAATTTAGGCTAGTTACAACTCATACTCCGCACTTGTTCTAATCTTAAAAAACATAAGTAATGTTGGATACATTTTGTATCTAATAGTAATGTATATGTCTGGAAAAAGAAAGTTCAATAGTAATGTTCGATACAAAATCTATCCAATTTCCATAATCAAAATTCTCTACCCTAACATGGTAAATTGACCAAGAATTTCCATAATCTGAACAAACTATAATCAACAATTTATGCACATTAAATTAAAAAAATAAAAATGTTTTTACCATTTTCTTAAGGCACCCTCTAGTCCATTTTACAATTTGCATTTTGGGGACCTATTTTTGATTTATATTGACAATTTAAATTGTTCATTATGCAAGACTTATCATGAAGATTAACCACGCAAAAAATCAAATTAATCAAATATTGATATCCATATAATCGAATGACAAAATTGTACACACAAAAAAAAAAAAGGACTGCAATTGTGATTTTGAAAATAAATGGTCTATTTTTTTTAAAATTTTTTTTGCATGGTTTTATGATCCCATTACATAAATATTGATGTCCGATTAATTTGATTTTTTACACGTATAATTTCTCTACGGGACTTACATGACGAACCGTTCGAATAATTGAGATTGGTCCACAATGGGCCCACAAAATACAAATCGCACTATCTAGTCCATATATGGACCGGCAACAAGCCATACTTTTTATTTTTTATTTTTAAACTACACAAAAACTTGTTTTACCATTGAAAAATATAAAAATTATCTGACTAGGCAAACAAAGAGCATGGACGTAGCTTTATCCATTGCAGTGGATACGTACTTCATTTTTTTAGGAAAATTCTTTATAGATTTCTTACCAAATTTTATTATATCCAGATAAAAAAAAAAAAAATGAATCTAATGACTGATGAGAAAATTCTACTTACAAGAAAATCTAATAAAAATCTAATGGATGATGAGAAAATTCTATTCATAAGAAAATCTAATAAAAAAATTGGATTATGTATAACACATCAAATGGAAAGATGGAAAGTCCAGTCGTCGATCCAATAAAAAATTAATTTTTTTGGCAATTCTTATTGTAAAATTGTTCTATATAAGAACCATGCACACCATGCAAAGTCACTAAGTTCTTTACAAAGTACTCATAAACTCTATCCATATAGCTTAAGTCGATCTCAGTTTTAATTCCTTGCTATGGAGTCAAAGTTTGCTTCATCCTCATCCATCGTCTTCATTCGTTGTGTTCTTCTTTTTGTGCTCAACTGGAACCACCATGTAACGCCTCAACTAAGTAACCCAAATGATAATACAACAATTATGGCTCTTTCAAGGAAAACCGAATATAAATCTCCAAACTTACATTACATGATACAATAGTTCTTCATGAAATAATACATTAATCCAACAATAAGTAAATAAATAAATAAATACCCCCAAGGGTTTACAAGTTTCCAAGGCTTGAGCCTGGTTACACAAAACGGTTATTCAAACCCATATATATACAGCCCTTGGCTTACACACAGAGTCACAGCAAAATGAGAATCTCGTACTCTCAACACACATTTACTCGCCTTTAGTTAGGTGGCATCACCACATCTTTTCCCGCACAAAAATCCCATAGGCTGAGCATAAAGCTCAATAGGAAATCCTTAACAAAGTATATACATTTTATACAAGTCTCAAGAGATGAAATGCACATGCCATGCTATGCCCATTTTTGAAGATAAAGCACATTTTCATCTTTTGAAAACCATCATGTTCAATGATGTCATGCAATTTCAATTGTTCAAAACTTAATAATTTATTTCAAGGGCGATAAATACGACTTTGGTAATGCCTAGGTCGGTGTTTGCAAGTAGACTATACAAGTACTACCAAATTGTTATTTTTACCGGTATTAACCGGAAGGCTCGACACCTATCCGCGCGGATTTTTGGTCTTTCACCCCGGACTCTCAGGCCAACTTATTCAATATCATCTACACCACCTATCAAGACTTACCAATGTATTTACCCAAAACCATTTTATGAAAACTTGTTTCTCAACATTCTTTTCTCAATGCAAGTTTTCAAATCAACTTTTAAAGTTTAATGTAATCAAATGAATTGTTATGCCAATAACACAAGATGAATATAAATACTTTTATTTTAATTCATCATCTAAGGAATAACATAATTCCCTCTTCTCAAGTATCCTCAACAATTAGTCATTTTAAGACTATTTCAACGTTTTGAACAGCAATTTTCAAAATGAACATTAATTCTCATATTCCCTGAAATTCATCATTTATATAAATATAAATAAGAAATTTTCTAAACATTCATTTATTTTGACACACAAAATAAATACAACAATATCATTCATGGATTTTTAGTCTCTTTTAAAAAAATTCCCAAATTCTAGGTTTTCTCACCAAAACTATACAACTCAAATCCTTTGAAAGAAAACTTTCCAAAATCATCTTTTCTTCAATCAACGAAGATCAAAACCCAAAAGATCATTTTAAAAGAATAAGAGACAAACCCACTTTCAAAATCGCTCAACTTCTTGAATTAACAATCAATTTTCAAAGATATCGAAAGATAATTTCGAAAATCATATAGATCTTGCAAATATATATATATATATATAACTCTGAGAAAAAGAAATGAGATGAAACCCCCAAAATCAACAGTGTCGAAACTCGATCTTTACCGCACACAACGAAGCCCTCGAGAAGTTAATTAACTTTGATGAAGAACTTATGGCAGAACTCTAATAGATCTTGAGAAATTAAGGTTTTGATCTAATTTGGTGTAGGGACATGTAGAGAGAATGGAGAGGAAAGAGGAAATGGTTTTTAGAGAGAGAGAGATATACAAAAGTGATCTGAACTATCAGATTCACGAACTGATATAACATGGTCCGCTCGAGTGTGGAAAGCCTTGCTCGAGCGTCAAATGCCCTTTCCCAATACTTTTGCAGGTAGGTCAAACTTCTGAAACCAAACATTCTCCGCTCGAGCGCATAAACGACTGCTCGAGCGAACAAGCAACTTCTAATGCATTTTGCATTTTTGCTTCGGGAGCACTGCCCCTCAACCCCGCCAAGGGGTGCTGCCCCTAGATCCCCACGAGCTGACCGGGCAGCTTGATCCCCGCTAGGGCGCTGCCCTTGGACCCGCTAAGGGGCGCTGCCCCCTGGACCCCCACGAGTTGACCGGGTAACTCTATCCCCGACATACTCAACAAAGTGGCAAAACTGGGATCGCTATAACCTTCCCCCCTTAAAGAATTTTGTTCCCAAGATTTCAAATCAAACAACCCAAACAAAGGGTTTATAGTGATCAAAACCATGCTATTTCATTTTCAAATCACAATACTAACTCTCAACCAAATTCCACCATTTCCACCATGATTATCTCATTAACAACAACCTCCCAAATATGCATAAACATGAAATTTTCCAAAAAGTAATGGCAACTCTAAACAACCTTATGCTTAAAACAACAACGCATATATCAACATGTGGTTAACAACTTTAAATACGTTTCCCTCAACACTAGGGAATATTACAAACAAAAGCAACTTAAACATTTTCAAATAAATCCGGATATTTAGAGCGGACTTCCGCCTCCCGTTCCCACGTCGCTTCTTCAACCCCATGGTGTCTCCACAACACCTTTACCAACGATATAGTTTTGCCCCGTAGCACTTGCTCCTGGGTATCTAATATTTGAACCGGTCGTTCTTCGTAAGAGGCATCCTCATCTACCTCCAAGTCAGCCCAATCAAGCACATGAGAAGGGTCAGGTTCATACTTCCTAAGCATAGCTACATGAAATACGTTGTGAACTCCCGAAAGTTATGGCGGTAAAGCTAACTGGTATGCCACTTCCCCAATTCGCTCTAAGATCTCAAAAGGCCCAATGAACCTTGGAGATAATTTACCACTCTTACCAAATCTCATCAAACCCCACCTTGGTGAGATTTTTAGAAACACATGGTCACCAACTTCAAAAGATAAAGGTCGTCTCCTCTTATCAGCATAACTCTTTTGTCGGCTTTGGGCCATAGCTAACTTCTTCCGAATGAGAACAACTTTCTCGATTGTCTCTCTAACAATTTCCGAACCTAGTAACGGTGCAACACTCATTCCGGCCCAACAAACTGGTGATCTACAAGGTTGGCCATACAAGGCCTCAAATGGTGCCATCTCAATACTAGCTTGGTAACTATTGTTGTAAGCAAACTCAATCAATGGTAAGTGCCTTTCCCAAGGCCCCTTAAAATCAATGACACAAGCTCTAAGTATGTCTTCCAAAATTTGAATGGTATGTTCCGACTGTCCATCGGTTTGAGGATGATAAGCGGGGCTAAGAGTCAGCTTAGTTTCCAACACTTCTTGAAGGCTTTTCCATAACCAGACAGTAAAATGAGGATCCCTATCCGAAACAATAGTCACAGGGACTCCATGAAGTCGAACTATCTCTCTAATGTACAACTCTGCCAAGCGTTCAACTGAGTTGCTGGTGCACATCGGAATGAAATGGGTAGACTTAGTCAACCTATCAACAATCACCCAAATGGTGTCATTGCCTCATTGTGTTCTAGGAAGCTCAACTACAAAATCCATGGTAACATGCTCTCATTTCCACTCGGCTATCGGTAAGGGTTGTAACAAACCCGCTGGTCTTTTGTGTTCGGCCTTTACTTGTTGACAAGTAAGGCACTTCGATACAAATAAAGCGACATCCCGGTTCATACCCCTCTACCAAAACTGACGACTAAGGTCATGATACATTTTAGTGCCTCCCTGGTGTACCGTAAGGTGTGAGTGATGGAACTCCTGAAGTGTTTCCTCTCTACAAGATTCTGGTACAAACAAACGGTCTAGGTAACGTACACTCAGATCCGAGTGAATGTTCAAACCTTTCTTTTCCTTTCCATTGGAAATCTTAACACGGATTGATTCCACATCACGGTCTCCTCGTTGTGCCTCTATGACCTTACTAACCAAGATAGGTTGAGCATTCAAAGTAAACAAGGTAGCACTCTCTCCGGACTCACTCAAGTGCAAATCAAACTTACCAATAACATCTAGCATATCCCATTCTCGAATGGCCACACTTGCCAAACTACTCACAGATTTTCGACTCAAAGCATTGGCCACCACATTGGCCTTCCTTGGATGATAGTGTAACTCAAAGTCATAATCCTCCATAAATTCCATCCACCTCCATTGTCGTAAATTCAAGTCTTTTTGAGAAAACAAATACTTTAGATTTTTATGATCGGAGAAGACTTCGAATTTCTCATCGTACAAGTAATGCCTCCAATTTTTCAAAGCAAAAATCATCGCTATTAATTCTTGATCATGGGTGGGGTAATTTTTCTCATGAGTTTTCAATTGTTGTGAACCGTAGGCCACAACTTTTTCGTTTTTCATCAAGACACAACCAAGTCCATCCCCGAACGTATCACAGTAGACAGTGTAATTCAAACCCCTTTTCGGAATTATCAAAATTGATGCGTTAGTAAATTATGTATATACTAATTGATTTCATCATTAGTAAATTATGTATATACAAATATCAATTTCATCATTAGTAAATTAAAAAAAATGATAAACAACAACAACAACGAATGTACATAGCGATATAAGGTATTGATAATAATGTATATACTAATCCAAGGTATATACTCTTACTTCATTTTTGCAAGGGTCATGTGGACAATAATACTGGTCGATCAATATAGGGTTGTCTGTTTCAATAAGTATAATGTCAACAAAAGAAATTATCTTAGCATATCCGGACCCACCGTAAAAAACACACAAAAAATTAACATATGAATTTGAGAAAAGGAATAGTGAACAAAATATATAATTAAGGCAAATAAAGTCAGACTAAATTAATTTCTAAACTTGGTTTGAGTTTCTTACTTGCCATGTCTTGATCCTTGCCCCATTTTGAGTTCCATTGAAGGTACAGTTGTTCACATGTAGTTCTTCCACTGTAGCTCTACTTCCATTTTTTCCCAAGCTTCCAATGCTAACAAACAAAAGAAAAGAAATATATTTATTTTTTCAAAAAGTAACTCGTTGGAACTTAAATTTATTATTCTTATGAAAGTTTATGCATAATTTTTTCGTAAAATTATGTAGTGGAAGCAATTTTGTAAATAAAATTCATTTTAATGAGAATTTTGACCTTATTCCATGGCCTGGACCGCAATTTACGCCAGTAATGTTGATATATTTGCAGCCATTAATCATAGCAATGCAGTCATCACCTACAATTATTGCAATTTTTTTTTTTGTTGATAAAATTCATACAAGTAAATATGTACTAAGCAACAAACATCAAATGAAGGAAAACTGCTAAAAAGACCAAATAAAAAGTTTTTAAAAAATGAAACCAGTTCCAATGTAAGAATCGTGAATCTGAATAGGGGTGGAATTGCTGATATCAATGCCATCGGTGTAAGGGTTAGTTTTAGGTGCAGTTATATGAATGTTTGAGATGGTGGCAACTACGCAGTTGGTAATCGAAATGTGGTTATTTGTGTTATCGACATGCCTCAATCCACTTAGCTGAAGGTTGTTACACCGATTGAATGCCAAAGCCTGGCAATGAAAATTGTAATTGTTTGAGCTCAAACATCTTTAATTTAAGAACAATATGTGCTTCTAATACATGCTTATAACAATTTACTTTGATTTTTCAAGATACCCACCATGTAGTATTTTCTTAAACTCAAAGAGAACTTTTAAACTTGTTTAAAAAAAAAAAAATATTGGGTTTAGGATCAAAGACATTGATTTATTATTTTATAATTTTTTTTTTTATTTATAATAAGCGTGCTTTGATGAGTATGAGCCAATAAACAATATAAATTGCCCGAGAGTAAAAATAGAGATTTTTACCTACAGCAGGCCTCGTCTTGCAATTTGTTCCCAGTAGATGAAAATTGAGAACACATGTAAGAAAATTTTCAAACGAGTAATGATGTACAAAGAAAAATTCTATATAAATTTTTTTACAAGAATGATACGGTAAAATTAAATGAGCATAATCCAAACAATTTTGAATGTTTTAGAACAAAGGAATAGGGATTTGAGACATATAGTTAATCTCGTGCTATGCATAAGTTTTAATTAGGATTAGATGAGATTAATAAGTAACACTCTATTTGGATTGAGGGTTTAGTGGGAAAAGAAAAGATTCAAAGAGGATGAGATTTTTTTATCACCCCTTGTTTGTACGATTGATAAGGTGAGTAATTTCAAGAAAGAAAGAAACAAATAACTCCAAACGTAAGTCATATTTTTCACCAAAAGTTGTAAGATTTATTGAAAAACTAAAATTACTCTTTACAAAAAAAATTATAATACCTAAACTAACACCCTAAACATAGAGGAAATTAAAATTAAAAAAAAAAAAAAAAACACGTGTATCTTCCTCTTTTAATCATTGTCCATCCAAATAAAAAGTGAGAATTGCAATAATATTTTTTTTTATTTATTTTCTAACCAAGATGAAAAACTCCAATTATTATTATTATTATTATTATTTTTTCTCACATCCAAACAGAAACCTTCTTTGGACAAGAATCCCACCAAGATTTTCCAATCCCATCAATTTGTCCAATTCCATTGACAATAAGCCTATCAACATTTGAGAAAACAAGCCAAGTATGAGAGTTAAAATCACCAAAATTCATCATGTCTGGTGCTTTAATGTCACTCCAAACCTGTATTTCATCAATGAAAAAAAAGAGGAAAATTGCATTATAATCACAGCAGAATTGTTGGGTATTTTAAAGTTATTATAAAAAAAAGAGAATATTAATGTAAAAATAAGTCACAAAAACACAATAAACGTGGAACTTGCATGCAGCGTGTCTCTGTTTGGTTACTATTAAATTTTTTTTTCCGTCTATTTAAATCAAAAAGGGAAAAAAAAATTGCATGTTTGGGCAAACAATCGTTACTAAAAAATATGCTAATTTAGATGACAAGATTAAAAAAAAAAAAAAGAGTTTTTTTTTAACAAGACACATCATCTTTGGCAAGTGCTTAAAGGTTATTTTTTATCTTTTAGTTTTGGTAAAAATTTTAAAGTTATTATTATTATTTTTTAAATTTCAAGTACTTTCAATTTTGAAGATCTAAAAACTGTATTTTTTTAAACACCAAAGACAATTCCAAACCCCACCCCAGCTTTTCAATATCAAAATGTAACGTTTTTACCAATAACTTTATCTTAAAAAATTATTAAAAAAAGGAAAAAGAATAAAATTATTAAAAACGTAATTGTTAAACCAGCCATGTGTCTCATCCTATGACTTGTTTCCGTATTAGTACTACTGACTTTAAAACAAGGGGGGGAAAAAATATCAAGAAAAAATTGCAATATAAAGTACACACACACACATATAAATAAAATGATTTAAAATATAATTGAAAAAAATAAAATGAAAATCATGAGATTTAATAAATAAATACCTGGACATAGAGGACTTGCATGGACCTTCAATCGGACCGGTTGTTTCACCAAGAATGTCTTGTTTCCAGGTATGATCATACTAGGACCATTCGATGTTGATCCACAAGTTGCACTCCATGCCTTCAAAAATGCCTTTTGTTTTTGGAAAATTAAAATAATTAAGACGTTACTAATCTATAAAATATAGAATAAAAAATAAAAAATATTTGAAAGCCAACACCGCCGAAGCCAACTCTATGACCTAGGCACGTTCTATGTGGATAGAATTATTTTTTCCAAGCTAGATGATTTAAATCACTCAGAGTAGGCATATGGAACGTTATAGCATAGTTGTATTTTATAAAACACATAATTCAAAACAGTTTTTTAAAATTTTGTCACATAATTTTGATTTTCAAAAATATTACCTAAATAAAATAAATATATCATCATAACAGCTAATCAATTTTTGTAACCAATTAATATTTTTCATTCAACGAACAATTCAAAAATTGAAATATAATGCACGCGTATAATATGTATACCACCAAATCCATATGAAACCACCATCATCAGTCATGGTCATAAATAAAAGTTTTATTTTTCTGATCAAAATCAAAAAAATTAATAATAATAAAACACTTACAAATTGAGTCCATCTCATCTCTAGTATAAGCATTCTAAATTTGATTCTATGACAAGATTAAAAATAAATAAATAAATAAATAAAAATTCCTAATAAAATAGGACACTAAAAATTGTGTAAACATACCTATTAGAGTATTGTTAAGGTCATATGTAATTATGCGGACATTTGGGGATGAGTTATAAAATGTCAAAAAGTCTCTTTTTATTTTAAAGTTTGATGGTCTGGGAACTCTCAAGGCCTAGCTCATTTATGAACCGACCTCACGAGCCAACTCAAGGAAGGATGTCGAGGAACTCACCCTTCACCCCTCAATTTTAGTCAAGGACTATAAGAAAGTTGATATAAGTTTCGAATTCGGAACTTTCAGTTACGCAAACCGTTATCTTATTAAACTGATCTAATCCTTGGGTTAAAGTCACGTATTTTTTTATGATCAGTTAAAAAAAAGTCAAACAATACATAAAGAAAATTGTCTCACAAAAAATGATTTTTTGAGCGACTTCCCAAATCTCTTTTTTAAAGCTTTTTAAAAAGTCAAAAAATTTAAAAATTACTAAAATCAAGAACACTGTATATCCAAAAAAAAGAATCACAAAAGTGACTATAATTTATAATGTATGAATTAGATTTATTTTATGTGCGACTTAACCATATCAAATCAAAGTACACACCATAAATTTAAATTTTATATACGTTTAATTTTTCATTTTTTTTTGTTACAAAACAATTATATTGCCAAATAGATCAAGAGCAATTCTTACAACGACAAATACTCATAATATTCAATCTAACGTTCAAATTAATTTAAAATCTGAATTATACCATACAAAAGTGGGGGGAAAAAACAAATCAAGAGAAAAGTGAATAAAATAAAAGTATTTTTTTGTCACTTTTTTTCTTCTCCACAAATTCACCCTTATTTTGTTTTTTTGAAAAAAATTCAAATAGAGCCTAAATTACCATAATATAATTATATCAAACTTGTAGAACTTTGTGTAATTTTTTTAAACTTCAAAAGATATTAGTGTAGTTTATTTTTTTATTTTTTTAATTTGAAATTTTAATTTGGATGGAATTAACCTTATGTCACTATTGATTATAATTACAACTCATACTCTACACATGTTCTAATCTTTAAAAAAAGAAAAGAAAAGAAATTACTGCATATAAAAAATGAGATTAAGGAAACTGCCACGTTTCATCTTCTATTGATAATTTCAATAATGCCTATTATTATAAAATAAAAAAAAAATAATATATGTGACCAATAAAAGAAATTTCCATAATAATGTTGAATACAACCATATCAATAAAATCTATCAAAAAGTTTTTTCCATAATAACGATAAAATAATATCAATAAAACCTATCAAATTCCACGTTTCAGCGTTTTTTTTACTTTCCTAAACCATGCAACGTGTTTTCAAACAATATAAGCTGTAAAAATTATATTTATATAATATATTATATTTATAATTATTATTATATAATATAAGCAAAAACATTGTAGTATCTTTGAGGTTCAAAAGCTCAATACATATTTTTTAAATATATTTTCTTAATTTTATAACACTTGGAATACACATGTCATTTTATGATTAGTCCAAAATATACTTAATAATTGCCAAAAAGCTGATTTTTTCGAGAAAACCGTGCAATATATAATGAAATTTTATGATGTTTACGTAACTTTAAGGAAAGTTTAGTAATAGGTTGTGTTATTATATGGTTGAAATAAATCATCTGACTAGGCAAACAAAGAGCATGGACGTAGCTTTATCCATTGCAGTGGATACGTACTTTATTTTTTTAGGAAAATTCTTTATAAATTTTTTACTAAATTTTATATTATCTAGATAAAAAAAAAAATGAATCTAATGACTGATGAGAAAATTCTACTCACAAGAAAATCTAATAAAAATCTAATGGATGATGAGAAAATTCTATTCATAAGAAAATCTAATAAAAAAAATAAGATTATATATAACATCAAATGAAAAGATGGAAAGTCCAGTCGTCAATCCAATCCAAAATTAATTTTTTTGACAATTCTTATTGTAAAATTGTTCTATATAAGAACCATGCACACCATGCAAAGTCACTACGTCCTTTACAAAGTACTCATAAACTCTATCCATATAGTTTAAGTCAATCTCAGTTTTAAATCCTTGCAATGGAGTCAAAGTTTGCTTCTTCCTCATCCATCGTCTTCATCGTCGTTGTGTTCTTCTTTTTGTGCTCAACTCAAACCACCATTTCACTTCAGACCAACATTATCTTCAATGCAACAGTTGCACAAGATGGCTCGGGAAATTACAGACACATCAACGATGCGATTGCTGCTGCTCCTATGCATATCAGTGTAACCAACAGGTATTATTTAACAACTGACAACAAACTTTCAGTACTTAAAAAAAAAAAAAAAGAAAGAAGAAAGATATTATTGAAAAAAGTAAAACAAAATTATTTACTACGTTTTATGAATATGATAGGTATTATATCCGCGTCAAGCCGGGGGTTTACAGTGAATATGTGGTGGTGGGAGAGGACAAGACGAACATTGCTCTGATTGGTGATGACGCCGCAACCACGAAAATTACGGGTAACCGGAGTAATGCCACCGGATTTGGAACTACACAGTCTGCTACAATGAGTAAACTTCACTCACTCTCTTGCAAGCAATTCTATTTTGGTTGTTTTTTAGTTTGCATGTGTTTAGGGTTGATGAAGTAATTTTTTTTACTAGTATGGTTTTAAAAAGTTAAATCTTTTTGCATGAAAGAAGTTGGAAAAACAAGTGTTGATAATATTTATTGAGGAAATTACAAATCAGTTTATTTTTATAAAAATATTTATAGATTAGTAAAAAAATGTATTAATATTAATAATTAAAATCATAAGTTTTTCAATGAATTTGTAATTATTTTTCTAACACTATATGGGTTGTAATTTTTCCATATTTATTTTTGAATCTAGCCTGCATGGTTGAAGTTTTGGTTATATTCTCATCATCCTCTTTAGCCTAACATATGTATACATTTTCAGTAATGAATTTATGGTTGAAATTGAATTGATATATTGTGAGGTTTAAACTTAAATGAATTTGAAACACATATTGATATTTTTGAGTAAAATTCTAAATATATAGTATGTTTCTTAATAACCGGATATTCGGAGTACCTTGACTAATCTCGAATTCGAATTACTGATAGATTTTTGTTTTTACAGCTGTTGATGGGGAAGGCTTTATCGGCCAGTCTTTAACCATTGAGAACTCAGCTCCAATAAACAGTCATCAAGTAATTGCACTATACAACAATGCAGATCACTCAGCATTTTACAAGTGC